AAAAAGAAGATGCACATTCTCTGTCATATGGGCCTGCATGAATAAACTTTCTGAATCCTTTATCATCTGCAACTGAAAACAGTTGTGGATGATTACTATACCTTTCTAATGTGACGTTGTTGTTCCTGGCTCTCTTCCTCTCTCTCTTTCCCTCCGGCACTGTTCCTGTGCTACTGTGAGTGTAACTACCACCCCTCCCCCTCTTCCCAGCGCAAAGCACAAGGCTCGCGTGCGGAGTGAAGCAGAAAAAAAGTGCGAGAGAGAGGGTGAGAGAAGGAAAAAAAAAACCCACGGCTCCCAATAAAGAGCTGGCTCGTGTCGTTCACTTTAAAGAGTCGCCTCTAAGAGCCGTTTCGTTCGCGACGAAGGGAAAAAAGCTGCATCTACTGACACATTTCTCTATTAACACAAAAAATACCACAAATGATATAAAATATGTTTAATGACTATAAAGCAAACATGAGGTTAAAAACTTAAAAGTTCACAAAAGAACTCAGACTACCACAAATCAGTTAACTTCATTATTCCACACGTAGAAATATGAAAGGAAGAATCCATGAATGTGTTAATCTGTTAGTCTCTCAGTCTTCATTAGCACTATTTTTTCTGGCAGAAAAGTAACTTCATTATAATAAGTTAGATCTTGTGCTTTGGTGATTAAAACATGTCTCTCATTTCAGGTAAATATCAGACAACATAACTGCTTGTAGTCATGACATTACTCTTACATGGTATCTGGTTCAGGAGGCAGTGTTTCTTACATTAAAGAGGCCACAGTAACAAAGAGGAATCAGTGAGTTTCTATTTACTAGCAACTGAGTGACGACACTTATTAGATCCACACTGACAGCTGAAGTACTTGCTTTTCACCCTCCAATAGTGATCACCATAATCGAACCTGTTGAGGAAAAGAGAGCAACTGTGTTAACTTGCTCATCCTACAGCCTGGACAATTTCTGATTTTTAATACAGATACCGATATTTGGTCATTTAAAAATTGGATATTCCAATATATTGGCCAATTTTGTTTTCTTCGTTCAGAGACACAAAACAGATTTCCCACATTATTACTCAGACAGAAGCTTCATCTTTGCACCCTGCTGCATGAAGAACAGTTCAGTTTCCAAACAAATTCATCTAAAACTTTGAGTACACATTAGTCTCAGCAGTCACATGCAGTGGTTATTTTTGCCCCTGCATCTCATTAAAATATGTTGCTATTACTGAGTCAATGTGAAAGGCTCCCAAGGCTCCCAAGTCTCCCAAAGTCAATGTGAAAGGCTCCCAAGGCTCCCAAAGTCTCCCAGGCTCACCTTCTCATTTAATGGTTTTTCTTTATTTTTATAACTATTTACATTGTAGATTCTCACTGAAGGCATGGGATGGGATGGCCTGTTGCTGCAGGATGCTGTGGTAGCCATGCTGATTCAGTGTGCATTCAATTTCGAATAACCCAACTGTGTCACAAAGCACCCCCACACCATCACACCACCTCCTCCATGCTTCACGGTGGGAACCATGCATGTAGAGACCATCCATTCATCTTTTCTGTGTCACACAAAAACATGGCAGGTGGAACCAAAGATCTCAAATTTGGTCTCATCAGACCAAAGCACAGATATCCACTGGTCTAATGTCCATGTGTTTCTTGGCCCAAACAAATCTCTTCTGCTTGTTGCTTTTCCTTAATTGTGGTTTCTTAGCACCTATTTGACCATAAAGGCCTGATTCACACAGTCTCCTCTGAAAGGTTGATGTAGAGATGTGTCTGTTACTGGAACTCTGTGTGGCATTTATCAGGGTTCTAATCTGAGGTGCTGTTAACTTGCGATTTCTGAGGCTGGTGACTCGGATGAATTTATCCTCAGCAGCAGAGGTGACTCTTGGTCTTCCTTGTGAGCCAGTTTCATCGTAATGCCTGATGGTTTTGCGACTGCACTTGGAGACACATTTAAAGTTTTAACAATT